ATCATTGCACTGTCAAGCAATCAGTCGTAGATTGCATTTAATATTTGTTATCTGGGCGTCGCTTCTAGCACAAGTGACCCCTTCCTGCCCTATAAATACCTCACCTCCCCCCTCATTCATTCACACCACCACAACTTTCTTCCTCCCTCCTTTCCAATATTCAAAGAATTCTTAGTATGCTTTGTGGTTGCAGCTAAGTTTGACCGGTAACACCCTAGCTCGGCCGAGCACTACTTTTACTAAAATGCGCTTCAAAAAATTAAATATTCAAATCTTAAATTGCAGCTGGAAAATTTTTCATAAACAAAATACTGAAAACACACTCTTGTAGTTTAAAGCAACGCCCTAACACATGGGAAAACTCAATACTTAAAATCTCAAAATGATCTCCAGTCTATACTCATAATCATAAATGTAGATAACTAATAATCTCTAATGTTGTTGCTACTGAAAACCTTGACTAAGCATCCTCTGTTACGGTTATACTGCCCTGCCCTCCTCTAGCTGGCTGCCCTCGAACTTGCTGCTCACTAAATGCTCCTCTAGATCCTCCTCTAGCTCTTCAAACTGGTGAGTGAGATGGGGTTAGTCTACGCCCTTACGTTTTAAATCTCGAATACTTGACCACTTTACTTAAAACACTTACTTAAACAGGTAGAATTCGTTCTTACTTACACACTTAAAAACTTTAAGTCTTAAAACTGTGTTATCTCATCCTTTATCTTATTATGGGGCCCCTACCTTGACTTAGCTGGCGCCACTACTAGCCTTACTTACTAACTTACTTAAACATGGCTACCCTCACAATGGGGCGACCCTCACATGGGTTTGACCACCGCAAAACGAATCACCATCCAGTGTCAAACTACGGGGTGACTACTGCGGAATGTATCACCATCCGGTAGCACACCTAAACCTAGGCAATGGAGACCACGGAACTGATCACCGTCCGGCTACATGCATGACCAACTACCGCAGAACGTATCACCATCCGGTAGTGATCAACTACCACGGAACATATCATCGTCTAGTAGGAAATGCAATATAGTGGGTTCAGTTTTACTTGTCAACCCAAGTCCTAGATTTATTGTCTACTCCGTGATTCTTTATTATTTAGCGGTTGAATTCGAGTGAAGTGTTGAAAAGTAAATTAAATAGAAAGCAAGAAATGTTCTGGTTTCAAGTATGCAAAAGGTCATCCAGATATGAGTCACCCTACTCTACATTCAATTCAGATTATAATTCCCCAATTCGTTTCAAATGAAACAAATACCGCGAAAAGTTCTTGACAAGCCTGGATTCTCGACTAAATAATTCCATACCCTCTCAGTTTGAATACCCGGTGGCCAACTAACCTCCATCGGTGTAAACTAACCGAGGAAATAACACATCAAACTTCCACTGCTGGTTCCAATTCCATTACAGAGCAGTGAATTGATTACTCGAATAAAGTACTCGATCCACTACTTCCAATTAAGGTTTCTCTATTAACCTATGCAGAGATTATCATTCTAAGTGAAAGTAGGAATCACAAAAGCTTGATCACGACTCATGCAATTCTGATTAATGCCTGAATTGAATATATTAAAACAATCATTCACAAAATTGAGTTCATACAACCATTTCTAACATACAAGACTAGGTTTCTTCATACCCAGATGAGAAGAAAGTTTACTCCATAGAGAGAAGAGAAATCATCATGTGAGGGATGATAATCTGCTACAGGCTGGAAATAGGCACTCCGAAGATGAAAGATCGAGCTCCAATGTCATTAGATCGATCCAATCCTTTCCCAAGGTTGTTCTTCGCCACTTTCTCTCTTTAGTGTTCTCTCCCTCTGCTTTAGAACTTGCAAAACTAGATAATGAATCAAATTCCATAGCTGCAGCTTAGAAGAACCGACGCCGAAATCCACACTTGTTGAAGTGGCATGCAGACCCTGCATTTCAAAAACGGTGTGCGGGACTTAGTGGATTTCAAGCCAAAATCCACGGTCAGGAACTTCAAAATTCCCGTTCGTGGAATTTCGGCTATATGCCGGGGAATATTTCTGCTAAGAATCAACGGTCAAAACGTGGGATACACAATCGTGGATTTAGGCTTCCAGACCGTGGATTTTGCTTCTTTGGCCTTCGTGTTAATATCTAAAACATCGTCAACAAGTACTACCTAGCATAAAAGGGGCCAAAAAGCAATTAAAGGCTAAGCCAAACGACCAAGAAATGTCGGGAAAACATGTGTAAATATGGTGTTGCCAGCCGCCATTTTTGGCGCCCTTTTCGCCTCTGGAAATTGAGTTTATAATACGTGGCACTTGTCGATTATAAAAATACCCTGTGAACCAAATTAAGATCTTTAAAAAAAAAACCAAATTAAGAAGTTTTTGATAAACGGTGAACCAAAATAAGTAATGAATGGACTAGGAAAAATAGAGGGAAATTTTTCTTAAACATGCTGGAATAAATACTTTAAACTCAAATAACAATTCCTTGATTAAATTTTAAACCATAAATAGTCTTAATAAACTCGCATCAAGTCACAAGTCCTACCAATTACATGAATTTGAAAATCTTCGTACTAGAGTCCTCCTTTAGTTGGATGCTCCTCTACCTGGTAGTTGTCCGTCTAGCTTCTCAATCGATCCTTCTCTATGACCTGGTGAATGGATTGGGGTCAGTCTATGCCCTGCTTAAACTTTGAGCGCCTAAGGTTATTTCCTTGGGTGTTCACTTTAAAACTTGAGGAAGTTATTTATACTTCCACCCTTTAAACTTTAACTCTCAAATACGTGAGATTTGGAGTTGCTCGCCACCCACAAAATCTTAAACTTTAGAAATATTTTTTTAGAATCTTAAAACCTATATCTTATAACGGGGCCCCTACCTCGACTTATTTGGCGCATCCACTTGCCTTACTTAACCATGGCTACCCTCACAATGGGGTGCCCCTTAATATGAGTTTTGACTACCACGTTACGTATCGCCGTCCTGTGTCAAAATTAATTTATGTCAACAACGTTATGTATCGTCGTCCGGTTGCATACCTAAAACTTGGCAATGGAAACTACATTACGAATCTTCGTTTAGTTCCATGCCTGATCAGCTACTGTGTTGTGCATCGTCGTCCAGTAGTGCTCCTTCGTGAACGTGTGACTCGCTATGACACAACTCCTTACAATGGCCAAGTGTAACCAATGAAAGGGACTGCAGTATAGTGACACAAGTAATAAATATCGAATCCACGGGTCTCTAGAGTTAGTATTACTCAGATTCAGTTCATTATCTAGCAAACTAGACTAAGGATTGATTTACTAAACTACTCTACTAATTATAGGTTGGGAACTCACTTAGGTATGATCCCCCCTAGCTCCTTAATTAGGTCCATGTTGAAATTACTTTTGGTTGTTTTACTGTTGATTAAACTGTGGAAGATCGTCAGTAGCTTGGAATCTCTTAAGCTGACCAAGCCCTCTCAGACAAAACATAGACAGGTGACTAGCCTTCACCGGGATAGACTGCTAAGGAAATATACACAGAAGTCCACTACTGGAATGAATTCCAATACAAAGCAGTGAATTGACTGACTCTCGTACAATCAACTCACTCCTATCGATTGAAGAAGCTCTTAACCTAATCAGATTCTATCTATCATAGGTTAAAGCAGAAATCAAGAGAATTTGATCAGGATTCAATTGACTCAATAAATCATGCCTCAATCGATTATAATCACACAATATAGCATCCAAAACTTCATACAAGAAAGATCCTAACACATGGAACTAGGGTTCCTCAAAACCTAAGTGAAGGGAAGTTACTCCATAGAGAAGACAGAGACTGCAGAAATCTGATTTAGATCTTCAATCTCCATCTCGAAGCTTGATTCTTGAGCTCCAATGACGAAGAAATCCTCCAAACTGGCTCCAAGAATGTTCGCAAGTCGCTCTCTCTCTCTCTCTAGGGTTCGCCCCTTGGGTGTTTAGGACCCAAAACTCAGCTCTCCCTCTCCCAAAATTGCCAAACAACCTCTATACCTGAAGTTGGAATTTCGCACCACCAGTATGCACGACCGTGCAACTTCCTTGTCTGCTCGTGCAACCCAAAACGCAGCGTCTGAATTAGTTCCGCGAGGGGAGTGCACGGCCAGCGCACAACCCATGTAATCCAAGAGCCTGGCCGTGCAGCTTTTCGCAAAATTCATCACGGCCAGAGACTCGATTGTGCACGGCCGTGCGACTTGCACAGCCATGATGCACGGCCTTGCGTCTTCCCAGACTGGCCGTGCAACTTCATAAGCTCTTTATCGCTCGTCCCGTCTTCACCCAATTGACCCCGAACTCGTGCTCAAACCTTCATTCACGCATTAGGACCTGAAATGTCATAAACAAGAACAACCTAGCGTAAAATCGGCTTAAAACCTGTGATCCGAGCCTCAAACAGTATAAGGATGGTGGACAAAAATATGTGTAAATATCGAGTTATCAAATTCCCTCACACTTAACTGTTTGCTTGTCCCCAAGCAAACCAAGTCAGACACAAGGCCATATTACAAACGTTTTCAGTCAAAACAATTTTAGGGACACGACACATTGCCCAAAACATAGTGATCTCCACATATGACTAGCACGGACACATGAACAACAACAACATCAACCTCAATGACTACTCAGATGACATCCAACTGCAGCAAAACCATGCAAAGGAAAAGTCGGACTAATGTTCACAGACCAAAACGTGACAAGCCCCGTCCACCCATGCATCCCAGTCAACCATGAATAACGTTCAAACAACCACAATCAAAAGGCAGAGCAATCAAGGCCCTCACTGGGGTATAATATAAGGTAAAGAATCGCTAACTCTCGACCAGTGGGGTCAGGACATTGTGGTGCAAAAAAATGTGCACATTCATTCTCTCAATCCTACCGTGAAACATCCCGACCTTTTTCGAAAATCAAACCACAACTCAAACCCAAAACCGGTTACTCCGGAGCAACCCAAACCACATTTTAAAATAAACAAACTGACTTTATTTATAAATTTTAAATCAAAAAGCCCCAACACTTGGGCAAAATCTCAATCTCAAACACTTAAAACAACTTAACCCAGAATCTTGAACCTTGAACCTCTAGTACATATATACTCATAATCATAAACATAAAATAACTATCAAACTTTAACTAAACTCTTCACCCAGCTCCTTGACAACTCATCATCGGTACTGGCACGACCGCTTGCCTCATCTTACTTCTTCTCGGAATCCACCTCTGCTAACCCTTCCTCAACCTGGTGAGTGAGAAGGGGTCAGTCTCGTCGTTACTTCCTAAGGTCTTTGCCCTAGGCAAACTCCTTAGTCCTTACTAAACACATTATTAGAGGAATACCTTCCTAGCATGAAAGCCGTTCTCGCTTTCTGCTCTTAAATAACCATTCTTATCAACTCATTTCCACATTAACTCATAATAGTTCTCGACCTCTATCCTTATCTCAACACAAACCACTAGGACCACCGCGTTACGTCTCGCCGTCCGGTGTTCTACCCTAGTATGCCAACCGCGTTACGTCTCGCCGTCCGGTTGCATACCCAAACTCGGCAATGGCACTGCGTTACGTCTCGCCGTCCAGTCCATGCCCGTCAACTACTGCGTTACGTCTCGCCGTCCAGTAGTGACCCGACCATCTACCGCGTCCAGTAGTGTCCCAACCGCCCGGGGGTTCAATTACCAATAACCATACAACATCACAACCATTCATACATAGCACAACGCGTGCCTCCATCCTTACAGGCGGTGGGATGCCTCACACACATATCGCGGATACTAGAAAATTAACTGAATAATAACTTGAAATGAAAAGCGTAAACTAAAAAGACCTCGACAGAGATTTTACCCCCTTTACACTCACCTTGATGTTCAACCCTGACCGGCTTGATTTACCAACGAACTTCATAGACCACCCGACATTCGAATTCCTTGGCTGAAGTGCAACAATTGCTCTCTCATAGGACCATGCATCTAAGTCAATTCCAATGAGTTAGTTGCTAAGCAATTGATACAGTCCTTCTCCCTAGTAATTTCCACAAACCCCCATTCGTCCATGGTTAACAATTCACTTCCATTTTAGTACGTGTCCATATATCAATCCCCCACCTGCTAATTAAGCCACCTACACTTTCCACGACAACATACCCACCACTTTACTTATGCTATTCACCACTTTCCACAAATAATTAACATATATGTTTCTTTCCCTCCTAGCACTGCACGTGTTCAAGCAACCAAGATAAAGGAATTGGATCTCCTACCTTGCAATCCATTCGCTCCAGTATGATCAATGTAGTTGTGACCTTCTTCGACTTGGTCGCGCTCTCTCTTCGATAACCTCAGCCTCACATCATAAATCCCTATGTCAAATTATCGACCACCACCAAAAATAGAAGTACATGCGAACCTGTTTGCTGAAGGCTGAACCAGTCACCTCCCCGCTAATTCCATGGAAATGTTGTTCTGATTGTTGCGGCCTGTCTTTGTCATTGACCGATCCACCTCTCCATTCGGCGCATCGTCCACCATTACACCTTTGCTTGATCTCACTGTCCGGCAGTATGTCTCGAGCAATCACCACGCCGTCGACGATCTCCCTCAAAGTGTGTAGCTTAGTCTCTCTTTGGAAACCCTTACCGCCGAATTGAATCTCTTTCCTCTGTCGGCTGAGACCCCAATCTCGTATATATGTACCACTAATCCCTTGCTCCCCTAATTATCCCAACGGACAGCAATGTGGAAGTTTTGGAGTCCGCTTGTTGTAAAGGTTACCAATTAAGAGCTTAATGGCTCCATTTATCGATTTAATGGTCCTCTATAATATCCTCAATTAACCGTTTTATTGTTGTGGTGGTAAATCATTAGAGTTAACCACTCGACTCAGCTAACTTGACTCAGCTGTGACTCGTTTGGATTTTGGTTTGGTTTTAGGTCCTTTATCGAACCAAACCATGTAACAATTTCTTGTTAAACCTAAAACCCAAAGTCGGGGTGTAACATACCGTCTCTTCGCCATGATTGCAGCCTCTAAGGGTTAGAGTTCACAAAGCTGATGTTACCACTAACTTGTCAGTAGGACTTGACCGGGTTCAGATGCACTGGTTAGGGTCTAGGACATGGGGAACAGGATTTTTAGATGGTGGTAATTTCAAGCGCAGGGTCCACAGTTCCAAACCAAAACAGCACAATCAAAACATGCGTCAAATAGGCTGCATATCTCTACTATCACTGCTGTCGCAACCGCCCCTACGAATCTGGGGGCTTGTCGCGATTTGGTCGGAGTCGCCATCGATCTTAACTGGAGTGGATCGAACACAAATTTGGTTCGGTTCCAACCTTAGAGTCAGATCGGGATTTGGTCTGCGAAATTTAGAGTTTTGGGTTCGAAGTACGATTACGTATGGGGAAGTGACTCACTCCTACTGTCACTCTAGAAAATGGCAAAGTATAACCACTTCCTAAAGCGTAGTATAGCGGGTTTGAGTTTTAATGTCAACTCGGGTCCTAGATTTGATGACTACTCGGTGAATTCTTGTTATCTAGCAGTGAAACTTTAGTGCAGGTTCTAACAAACAAAAACACAAAGCAAGTTAAACGGTTGTTTTCAAGTCAAGAGAGGTCACCCGGATATGGTTCCCCCTAGACTGCAGTTAAGCCGGATTGCAATTTACCAAGTCAGTTTTCATGAAAGTTATACTGCGGAAGGTTCTTAAACAGTCTGAAGTCTCGACTAAAGGTCTCCAGACCATCTCAATCTGAGTCTCTAGCGGGCGACTAACCTCCACCGGAGTAAACAGATTGAGGCCCTAACGAACCAAACCTCCACTACCGAATTGAATTCGGTACATAATAGCGAATTGGCTCCTCGACTAAAGTCACCAATTCACTACCTTCGATTAAGGGTACTCTATCAACCTAGGCAGATATTCTCATTCTAGGTCAAAGCAGAAACAACAGGAATTTGATCAGGATTCAAGTCATTCAATCATTCAAACCTCAATCGAATATAATCAGTTCATAAACTATGTACTTGGGTTCATACAATCAAACCTAGCATACAAATCTAGGGTTCTCCATACCCAGATGAATGGGGAAACTACTCCATAGAGAAAGAAGCAAAAGCAGATTCAGACGCGGAAATCATACTGTGAAGATGGATTTCTGCTCCAGGACGTTAATCGGCACTTCTCCAAGCTCAAGTCGGGCTCCAATGGTGATGAAGATCAAGCTATGGCACTTGGGAACTCTGGTTCGTCGCTTTCTCTCTCTAGGAATCGCTCTGTCTCTCTAAAACTCCGAACCTCTGAATGTTGGCCTTCTTCTCCTTTAAATTGGCTGCCTGTCGCGATACCCGGTCGAAATACCCGGTCGGGTATTTTGGGTCTCGACCGGGTATTATTCAAAACGCGCGTTTCAGTAGAGTGAAAATCCCCGGTCTGCCTCAATAATCCCCAACCGGGGATTTTACCTTCACGCCCGGGCCCCTCTCTGATTCTCACGGGCGCCCAAAATAATAATACCCGGCCGGGTATTCTTGGTCATGGCCGGGTATTTTCCTCCAGCAGCCCATTTCGTCCCAACTTCGCTCCTTTCGACCCAGAACTCGTTTCTCCGCCTCGATTCCAACGCCGGGTCCTGAAATATGGCATAAACACACAACCTAGCGTGAAATCGGCTTAAAACACGAGAATCCACATCTCAAACAGCTTCAGAATAGGGGTGAAAACATGTGTAATTATCGGTCTATCAAACTCCCCCACACTTAACCGTTTGCTTGTCCTCAAGCAGACCTAACTCAAACCAATGCAACTCTCCAGACCTCTATAGCAACAAACAACCCCGATCGTAGGTAGAGGACTTCCTAGATCATTTAGCAGCTTACGAGGTCAACCGACGCACAAGTCATCTCATAGCTTCTTCGGCGAGAGCACTAGTCTCGAGTCGGCATCATGGCAAATAGTGAACAGAGGACAAATGAATCGTGGATGAAGAGACTCTCAAAACAAAAGATCATGGACTCACATTTTTCAAGGTGCTCTATTTTCTTCTTGAAGATGGTTGAAACCCCTTTTCTTTCTTCTTTTTGCTTGTTTTTCTGTCTTTTTTTTTTCAAGGGTTCCAACCTGTTTTTTTCGGAAAACGGGGCTCCCACCTAGCAAAGGTTTTGCGGGAGCCCAGCTCTTACCGGCCATGCCAGGAGCGGGTGTCTCGAGCCTCGTGCGGGGGAAAGACATGTAAGGGGGCTGGAGGTAGTAGGTGGAAATTGGGAACGGATTCCCGTCTCCCCTTACACGCTTTCGCCCTATTCGCACGGGAGACGTCATTTTAAAGCACACTTTCGAGCACCTGTTATTTTCAAAACATGATACAAGAGTCCATGATAGGTAGAGAGTCCACACACCACACAATTCAAGGGTCCTAAGATCACTAATTCACTCAATCAACCAACACAATATGAAGAAGAAATGAGACTTCTTAAATGCATCAACATCCTCCATAGTGCTACACTACCTCCCTAGGTTGCACATTACTACAGAGACTGTCAATTCAAAGCATACTGAGCAGGCAATTGCAACTTGGAGCCCTCAAATTTAAAAATTTGGACAGTGGACTAGGCTCCAAGCACACAAACAGATCTAATGCAGTCAAAAGATAAACATCCCCCCCACACTTAAGATCGACATTGCCCTCAATGGAGAAGAGGGAAGGAAAGGGGAACGATGTTACCGGTGTGCACGGACTGCAGGAGACTGGAAATGGACCAGTTAGGAAGAAGTGGACTGGAGAGAGGACCAGTCGGGAACACAGGCACAGCTAAAGGAAACCAAAGAGCTCAAACACGATATGTTAGGTCCAATGGTCAGCCTAATAGTACAGCATCCAAAAAGGAAAAGAAAAAGAAACAAAACCGACACGGAACAGTTTGCATGCTGACAAAGACACAAAACACACAAAACATGCCACTAGGGCTCTCCGAGACCGGAGAAGTCAATCTGGTTCATAAGTTCGTCGTCTCCATCCTCCGGTGGTGGGTGTGATGGTGAATGAGTCCACCGGGTAGTCCAGTGGTGCTCCTCTGGAGGGTGACAAGCCTGGAGCAGGTGCTCCGAGTACTCCATCAGTCGGCGTCCTCGATCTCTCTCACGCTCGATGAGAGCACTAGTGACCCCCATGTGGGTCTCCAAGCGGCCGAGGCGCTCGTCAACAACCGTCAGCCTGGACTGGTACTCGGCCTGGTAGGCCGAATACTGCTGGTAGAACTGGACCTAATGGTCCATGAGCTTCTGGTTCTGAAGACCGAGCTGCTGGAACTGGAGCCCCATCTGTTGGAACTGCTCCGTGAAGAAGTCCATCGACGGGCCAGAAGCCATCGACCGACCAGAAGGACCAGAGGAAGACTCGCCTCTCACTGGTCTCCGTCAAGGCTGAAGGTCCCCTGGTGGAGAGAGCGGGGGCTCCGGCTCATCGGCATCCATGGCCCCGCCATCATCATCATCATCCTCCTTCTCACCGGTGTAGTCAGCGTCCTCCTCGTCGTCATCGAGATCCTCGGCCTCCTCAGGAGGCATGGAAAGCCCATCGACCCAAGTGAGGGTGCCATCAGTGACCAGGAGGAGTGCAATGTGGAGCACATCCCGGCTGATGGGGGTGGAGCCGCCCGTGGCAGACAAATCGTGGAGTCCCTGGAAGCTGATGCCGAAATGGCGCGCCAAGCGGGTGATCAGGGGACCACAGTAGAGATGGGTGGGCTTCCTGTGGCACCGGGAGAAGGTGGTTACCATGAAAGAACCCAAGTGGAGCATGTGATCCGGGCGCCCCATCGAGTACATGGCATAGAGCACCCGCTTCGGAATCTTGTGCGAGCCGGTGACGTTGGGGACGATGGAGCGGGTGATGAGCAGATTCAGAATGTGCCACTGCGGCTGGAGGGTGCGGACGTATGTCTGGCCAGCATCGAAGGTATCATTCCAATAGGCTTCCCTGGCTATCTGGAGGTAGAATGCGTCCATGTGCCAGTCGGTCGGGTTCGGGATCTCGATCTCGTGGTGGTCGAATGGGTTGTACTCGATCCCCAAAGCATGAGCCAACCCGTCAATGGTCAGCTCCCGGTTGTGTCCGCCCAGTCTGAACTTCACTGCATATGAGTCCCGGGCCGCCCTGTTATCGTACTGGAATGTGGTGTAGAACTCCCACACCAGCTCAGTGAAAGTGGGCTCGTCTATGCTCAGCAGCGTCCGCCAATCGCGGTGACTGATGGCGGCGGTGATGTCCGGCATGCAATGGAGCTGCTCGAACACGGCCCA